GGTCCGAATTAAGAGTTTGGCCGTAGGGGAGCAGCTCATAGTGGATGATTCCCTACCAATCCCACCAAACACACAGCAAAGCTTTCCTGACCGTCAATCCTGGCTTGGCCACCGGCTCGAACATAGTAAAAATATGTAACACACTTAAGTACTATAAAGAATAAAGTCTTTAAGACATAACATATAATGTGCAAATTTAGACTTACATTAGAAGTGACTATTTAAAGATGAACATCACAGTGCGCCACATATTTTTGCGCCGGCTCACCGTGTTTCGACCACGACCGTTTTCGCTTGACGTTGTCGTAAGTGACAACTTTTCATCACCAGTCACCATCCGCTGCAGAAATGGGTCGATTTTGTTGCGATTTAGCAGCGATTCGCAGATGGAAATTCGGTCCATGAGGTTTTTTTGCGTTAACTCGTGTGGCACCCATACATCGAGCTTCTTTTTGTATCCAGCCTTATTCAAGTGGTTCCAAACGGTTTTTTGTGCAATGTTTAGCTCCTGGGCAATCGAAACAGTGCTTACATGACGGTCGGACTCAACGATTTCCATTATTTTATCGACATTTTCGACAATTGGCCTTCCAGAGCGTGGTACATCTTTGACATCAAAATTACCGGAACGGAATCGACGAAACCAAAATTGCGCGTGATTGGCTGTTACAGTATCAGGACCATAAACACTATTCACATTTTCAGCCGCCTGGCTTGCGTTTTCGCCTTTATCGAAGAAAAACTGTAAAATATGGCGTATTTTCTCTTTGCTGGTGTCCATCTTTGACGCGCGCTCAAACAATACTGAGTCAAACAATCACAAAACTGTCTGAGAAGTTTTTTTTAATACGAAATCTTATCTTTCTAATGCCATCTAGTGTAAACCGATCGCACTTATACAACGCGAGATACACATTACTAAAGCCATCTATTGGAAAAATAATGGATTTCTTTTACTACACCTTATATTTTGCGGCGCTTCGCTTATACGTGTTTCTGTGTGGTTTCAAACTCGAACTTCATCGGTCATCCCATTTTCTAGTCTGGATCTTAGTCTTCGTTGCTGTTGCTCAACCTTGGTGATCAGACAACTAGTAATGATTCAAATGGCTCTGACGATACAATCATAACTTGTGCTTATATAATGTATCTTTATGTATTTACAAAATATTGTAATGTTATATTTATTAACAGATATTAAAAACGAAAGCAGTTAATATGCGATGGATATTAATATAATGTATATTGGCGAAATAGTGACGCGATTATTGCTATTATATTTTTAACTTAACATTATTGTGTATTTGAGAGTAAACAATAAGTTAGTTTGAAAAATATATGCAATAATTTGTGTGTGTGTGTGTGTGTGCGTGTGTATGTGGGCGCGCACGCGTGCGTGCGTGTGTTCCGATATTCTGAGAATATTCTAAAAATATCTCTTACACAATTCATAGTTCTACAAAATATTAACCGTAATTTGTTTTTTACATTTTAGACGTAATTTATATAATCTGTGTGCAATATTCTAAGAATATCCCCTGCATATTGCGTATATATACGAACTTTCGGGATAAATTTCATAATATATACAGCATTTACAGTATGCATGCAAAATATGATATTCTGTGTGCGATATCCTGAGAATATCCTTAGAATATACGAAATGTTCGAGGAGTATATACTGCTTACGATATCCTCGATATATTTTCAGAATGTTACGTATATATATGGGAGATTCCGTATGAATTCAGAATATACGGAGAATATCATATACTATGTAGATACCGACTATACAGGGTATTTGAAAAGTGTTGGACCCCCCTCTGATCTCCAAAAGCACTTTCAGAGAAAATGATCCCAATAAAAGTTATAGGGATCATGAAGGACTATCTTTTTGTAACCTTAAACTTGACTTTGAGGGTTATCTGAAGGGCAATATTGAATTTTTTTAATGGAAACCCCTTTTTTGATCCCGGATTTGAAAAGGGCGTGAAATTTTACGTTCAGATACGTTTTCATATCAGTGGTCAAAGTGACGTCTATCATTTGGAGGTCAAATTAGTGACAATCACAGAATATGCAGTGGACGGCGGTATCGAGAAAAATAACCCGAATAAAAGTTGTAGGGGTTATGAAGGACTATCTTTGGTGACTTTGAACTTGACTTTGAATTTGACCTTGAGGTCGATTCAGATACAGATTCAGTCAGCTAAGGCAAGATCGGTCGCGGACCCGGCCAGTTAAGGCAAGATCGATCGCAGATTCGGTCCGTAAGGGTCACTTTGACCACTGATATGAACGACGTATTTGAACGTAAAATTTCCCGCCCTTTTCAAATCCGGAGTCAAAAAAGGGGGTTTCCATTAAAAAATTCAATGTTGCCCTTCAGATGACCCTCAAGTTCAAGATTAAGTTTAGGTTACAAAAAGATAGTCCTTCATGATCCCTACAATTTTTATTGTTTCTCTAAAAGTGCGTACTTTTGGAGAGATCAGAGGGGGGTCCCACACTTTTCGAATACCCTGTATATTATGCCAGGTTGATTGATAAGTCCTTAGAATGAAAATGAAAAAATATTTTGTTAGCAAAATTCAACTTTATTCTTCAACATCTCCTTTTAGCTCAATACATCGTGTTTCAACGAGTTTCTAGCTTCTTTAAGTTTTCTAAATAATAAGAAGTTTCTAAACCGCCAATATATGCGTCTGTTTCCCATTCAATCTTTTCATTTGAAGCAAATCTCTTTCACTGGAGCCATCTTTTGCGATTTGGAAACAGGTAGAAGTCACACGGGGCCAGATCTGGAGAATATGGTGGATGTAGGAACAATTCATACCTCAATTCGTTCAATTTTGTCATTGCTTTTACTGATTTGTGAACTGGTGCATTGTCTTGATGAAAGAGAATTTTTTTCTTCGCTAAATGAGGCCGTTTTTTCTTGATTTTATCATTCAATCGGTCCAACAATGATGCATAATATTCTCCTGTGATTGTTCTTCCTTTTTCAAAATAATCGATGAGAATTATTCCATGTGCATCCCAAAACACAGTGGCCAGGACCTTCCTAGCCGATTATTGCGTCTTTGGTCGCTTCGGAGCACTTCCATCCTTTGAAACCTATTGTGTCGACTATTGTTTCGAGGAATATAATGGTGAATCCATGTTTCATTAACAGTTATGTATCGCAACAATTATTTTGATTTGCGCCTAAACATGTCCAAACAATGCTGAGAAGTGCGAATTCGTTCACGTTTTTTATCGATTGTTAGCAATCGCGGCACCCATCTTGCAATTAGCTTTCTCATACCCAAATGTTCGTGTAGGATATTGAATACACGTTCAGATGCCTACAGCTGCAGCTAGTTTACGCAATTTCACTCTGGGGTCATCCAACACGATATCATGGAATTTTTCATTCATTTCTGGTGTAATCACCTCATTTGGACGACCATTGCGTCATACATCCGATGTGCTGGTACGACCATGTTTAAACTCAGCAATCCAGTTATATAAGGTTGCATTCGACGGAGCAAACTCCCCCAAAATTTTTTGGAAATCCTCAATCATTTCTTACGGTTGCAAGCCTTTCAAATAGAAATACTTAATCACTGTACGAATTTCAGTTTTTTTTATTTTTACAAAATATCAGAGGTTATGTGCTTGTAGCTGCGGTAGCTGTCACAAATATACTGATTATCATAGCTGTCTGTAACTGTGTAGTGAGAGGTTTGAAGGTTGGCACTACTGGAAATTCACGGCGCATTGGAGGTGGCAACACCACTAATGTGTCATTCTAAAGATTTATCGATCAACCTAGTATATTTCTTATCTTATATAAACCCTTTAACCCTTTGGGGACGGAGCCGCTCGACGGGCTATAAGGAAGATAAGACTTCATCGCTAATGGCCCCTAATGTCTTTGAATGAAAACGTGACTCTTTTACTATACCTATGCGTATCTTATCGCTCAGAACGACAGACGTCGCGAGCCTTGCAGCTACGAACTAATTTGGGCGGCTATATGCCGACACGCGTCCGGAACGGTAAAACGGCTTGGGCGGCTATATGCCGACACTCGTCCCCAAAGGGTTAAGTCACGAATTTTTCTACACAACTTTTTCCTTTGCTCAATCGATTTCTGGGGTCGCTAATTACGAATTTGAAGTCAGTTTTTGAGAATTCCAAATGGCGGACCCAATATGGCGGACGACAATTTTAAAATTCTCGATTTCCATGAAAATTAGTATCCGAGGGTTTTTGGCGTCGCTGATCACGAATTCGAAATCACTTTTTTGAAATTCAAGTTATTTACAGACTCAACTTGACACATTTACGGAAAGAAAGGTAACTTATTCCGATTGTTGGTATTTTAATTCGCCATCTTAAATTTTTGAAGTTTCGTCATCATCTACAGCTCAAAAAGCATTAACCAAACCATTTTTTCCATAGGTTTGCTTAGCAATATTTTTGACAAATCTAATCCAGCTTTACAAATTTGTTTCAGTGTTGGATCAAGTCGTATATTATTTTTAAAGCTATACAGAATATTTTAAGCAAAAAAACTCGATTTTTTTAAAGTGCCAAGGTGGTTTAAGGTCTTAACGAAATGTAGAAAAAAATGTAGAAAAAAAGTTTACTGTTTGCGCTACAGCGTCACGAAAACCTTCAAAATTGTCATTTCTGGTCTCTTTGATGCCATTTTTCAAAATTGTGACGTGATAGCCAAATTTGGGCGACAGATTCGTGTTCAGCAGGCAAAAATACATCGGAAATGACTATTCGCATTCGTGTCACGAAAAAAGTTTGATTTTTGTCGAACAGTGTTATTATTCGTGTTAATTTTTCTACACTTGCTAAAGAATCTAGTAATATGTACATTATCATTGACAAAATATCTATTTGCAATTGAGGCAACGTGTTATATTTGCAACAAACTGAATTGAGAATGATTTAAAATTAATATTTCTAAACAGTAATTGTTTTAATTATTGTATGTGTAGCAGTAGCAGACTTTCTCTATATAAACGCGAAAAGCCGACTTCCTATCGCGATGAGTGACGAAGGATTTGATCTGTGCGGATGCATGCAGCGTCACCTATCTATACAGCAACTACTTTCCATTGTAAGTTACGCGGCAGATGACGCAAACTGTAAACAGTATCGTAGTAAAATTGTGCGCAAATAAAGATTTCTTTTTCTTCTTCTTTTTTTTTAATATATAAGTATATTGAACAATAATAACAGTTTCTTCATCTGGATAAGTAGTGATGAAACAACCTATTTAGCTTACAGAAGCATTTGTTATGCCATGCAGTTATATAAAAACGTTTCAAATACATAAGTTGATTGCTGCTGATGCATAATGCATTTTGTGAATACGAAGACTCGAATAAATAAAAACTCGAAGAAATAAAGAAATAAAAAAAAATTACACTTACCCAGATAAAAACAGAAATACTGAACATAATATACAAATATTTAATATATACTTTGACGAAATGATACCTTGATGAAAATAAGAAGTTTTATAATCGTTTGTTTAGCGTTTACGTAAGTGCTTGCGGGAGTTCGTTGAGAGTTTAAAAATTGTCAGTAGAGCGGAAATTGCAACATTGTATCGTTTGAAAGGCGTTTGCGTATTAGAAGAACATTTGCTGAATGGAGAAAAACGCTTGTCTTACGGCGTTTAGGAAGTGTTTTTTAAATATTTTAAAAGTCTGACAGCAAATTCTCTAGGCGAAGGTCAACGTTTGCTGAGCGTACTTTGAAAAGCGTTGCTTCAGCATTGCAGAACTTTCACGAAAAATTATATATAGCATTTGATAAGTTCTGAAAGCGTTCAAAATCCAACGGCGTTGAGTAAACGTTTATACAAAGTTTGAAAGCGTATAAACTCTCAGGAAATTTTCATCGAACGGTTTATAAAGAGTTTTATTTTTGCCAGTATATTCTTGCAACATATTTAAAATGTATTTGTTTTAAGAAATATCTATTTATTATATCATAATTTTAATCAAATTTATCCATATTACTACAATAATATTAGATTAATTACATTCCTTTCCCAGTAAAATAAGTAGTAATGTCATAGCATCAGAATATTATCGCAATTTTTATTACGATGACTACTGATGGAATTCTTATTACATGAAGACGCGCATCTTTACATACTTGTAATAGTCACTAGATGTAAACAGATAATATACTGAAATCTACCTAGGCACTTTCGCGCGTTTATTCTAATTTAACCTTAGAACCTTAATATGAGTAAAATTTATTCTGATTTAACTTTTCAAACATTATCGTTCTTAAAAAACATGTATTTTGTTTTTTCATTATAACTTCTTTCAACTTTATTAAATCACAAAGATTAATAGATTTATATTCCTTGAAATATATATGCATCGATAAAAAGGGATGAATATTAATAATTTTCCTAGAAGTTATAAACAAATAAAAATGCGCTAGAAAAAATTTACCCATTAAAATGTTTACAACATGTTGATTTAATTTATTGTTTTTTTCTAACTTATAATAACTGACTTTTCTAACTTATAATAATTGAATATAGAGTTGTATTAATTTATAATAGAATAGTAATTTGTTACAATATCAACGTGAATTTATTTCTATTATCAAAACCACAATCGTCCAAGAAACCCCAATTTTCTTTCTTAATATTTGTTTAATTTTCGGTGTTCTTATTCTTATATATGCTTTACGACTAAAGTTTTTGCAATAATTAAGCAACGACATTATCAAACGTTGCAGTAATGAGGTTTAGTGTTTACATAACTTTTTGATATTTAGGATTCTAAAATTAAAGAAATTGCAAATTTATGACAATGGTAACACATTTTTTTCAAGCATTAAAAATCGAGAAATCTATAAAATATAAATAAATATTTACAAAAATTAACAATTATTAATTTAATATCAATATTCATTGAATTTCTATAACAATATTTGCGATTTGTATTAAAACATCTTTATATCATTTATCAACGCCATTACGTTATTGGCTAATTGAAATGACCGCGGACAATTTAAACGTTGCAATTTAGCTCACTGCTCTCTATTTTACAAACAGAAGACATGCATATTTTTATCATAAACTGTATTGTTATTCCAGTTGCGACAATCACAGGATTATTGTACTGATACTGAATGCTTCAATGTGTCAAGATGTACGTATCATTTCTTACATTATTACTAATATAAATACTAATATTTATAATAAATATATTAATCATGTGCAGCTAACTTGTATTACTAATTGTTGATTTTACTAACGGTGATTAAGTTTTACCTTGATTTAATTTATTATTTTTTTGTATCTGTCTTAAAAATTAAATATAGAGTTGTATTAATTTATAATAGAATAGTAATTTGTCATAATATCAATATGAATTTATTTCTCTTTTCAGTACCAGAACCACAAGTCGTTCAAGAAACCCCAATTTTCTTTCTTAATATTTGTTTAATTTTTGGTGCTCTTATTCTTATGTATGCATTTCGACCAAGGTCTTTGCAACAATTGAGCAGCGACGTTATCAAGCGTCGCAGTAACGAGCCTGTAAGTATACTACTTATTTTTCTTTTACTAGTGGAAACTTAAGTACACGACTACACACGTACTCAATACACAGACTTATTTATGTTTATAGGGTTCACGTCATGATCCACCTTCATCACCGCCAATGAATTAATGTATAAACATCATCGAAAAATTTTGTCATATGGAATTTGATATTACAATTTACTAAGATTGCAACAGAAGCAAAAGGAAAGTTATCGTCTATATAGTAACACATTCCTTAGCGAGATGTATCAGTTGGATTTTCCGTGTATAAAAAATGCAATTTTCTTATGTGCAATAATTGTAATTTTATATAACGTGCATATATTTCTTTTTTTTTCATATATCTTCCGACATATAACTTTTATGTGCATTCTTAAAGTATATGCGCAATTATTTCTACAGAATATTTTAATTTTCCGAAAAAGTAAAAGTGTAATAGTAAAATTTAACGATTGCATAACTAATATAATAAATGTAGTAAAGTATTCTTTATATTGATGTATTCGCGTCTTTCAAGACTAGTAGTAAGTGTAGTAGTAGTAGTAAGTGTTAACATCTATTAATAATACTCATTTTAGATGATCTATAATTTGTCATAGAATTTAGAACGCAAAATTCCATTTGTAAGGAACTGTTTGAAAAATTAAAAGATTTATATTTATAAATGTATATACGTGTACACATACACATTTATGCATTTTTTAATATTCTTAATATCATAAATAAAATTATAAATCAGATCATCTAAAATGTAGAAAATTAAACGCAATTGTGAAATAATAAGGATATATTATCTTTCGAGCATAGTTTAAATTCTTTGATTAAAGTCTACAGAAAAATTAAGTACCTGTGAACGAATAGTCATAATACAGTTACTTGTTTGGTATTTATATTTGATATGGATACAGAGCTATGAGTGTAATCATGAAAATATTTAGAATTTACTTGGAATCTCACAAAAGCTATCTTAATGCGTAAAGAATCTTCTACATGTAATCGGAATTCGGGATCTTTATTAATACAAACAGTATTTATATACTTTTCTTCCTATAATCGTAATAAAATAAAATAGAAAAAACATTATGCAGTTTTATTTTCTCCGATAATATGTTAACTTGTTAAAAATGTTTTCTCTTCCTTCAATATAAAAAAAAGAAAAATATTTCAACAATACTATAAAAATATTTGATATATATTATATATAATATTTGATATATATTATATCATTAAGCCATGATGTTGAATATATATTTTGTCATACATCTTACATCTATAAATAATAAAGTATAAATTTAAATTTAGAGATAGGAAAAGTTACATAACAGTAATTATTAATAATATTTTACAATTGCTCTATAATAAAGTCTATAGAAAAATATTTTTTATCGTCAATTAATAATAATAATATTGTTTAACGTTCTGTATTCTGTTATAATAAATACTCTTTAATAATAAATAAGATCTATATGCTATTTGATAAACTACATAAAATTTTGAGTTATTAAGAATGCGCAGGAGCCACAGACAAATCAAAACCTGATTTTGAAAGTATCATGCTGCGAGAATGTGAACCTACGTCTCTGTATGTAGTGTTTATATATAGGGGAGAGCGGGGCACAGAGGACCAGGGAGGCACAAAGGACCACCGCTTACAAAACATAGATAAACAAACGCCATCTGTTTGAAAATAAAGAAATTACAATAAACAGACAACCGTTAATAGTGTAATGACAGTAGGCCATATAAACAAACCTCAGAGAAAGTTGTAACGAAAAAACTACAAAAAGATCACTTTTGAAGGTATGCTTGTTAAAATGTAATATTAATATGTTCGTTTAAAGTAATGACATAGTATTATTATTGTGAAATCAAATTTCATAACGTATCCACAATATATTAAGGAAATTATGTGTATATTTACATTATTTTTACATTGTCATATAGACATAAATATGTATATTTTATTGTAAAGTGTGTTTTTAGGGCATAGAGGTCCGAGATCCTTGGAGACACATATATACAGGGTGAGTCATTTTAATCGAGCCAGGCAAATACCTCGAAAAATATAGAAGATACAAAAAAATATTTCAAACAAAAGTTGTATGGTTCGGAGGGGGACATAAGATGGTGCAATTGGCTTAACTCTGGATAGTCGTTTGAAAGTCACGTGAAGGTCACCTTCAATTTCTTAAATGGAAACCTCCATTTTTCATTGCATATTCTTGTAGCTTACCTCGAGAGCTTTCCAAGACACTGTAATAAAATATTTTTTCATTAAGTATCTTTCGAGTTAAAAGGCTTCAAAGTTACAATACTGTTGCCATTAGCATTGGTACCCAAGGTGTTCGACCGATGGCTGAAACCTTTTGAATATTGTTCAGGACCATGACCTTGACAACATTTGTCAAAGTCAAGGCGATTGGAGGTTGTTTCTAATATTTTCATTTCTTCAAATTTTACAGTGAAAACAAAAATAATAATTTAAAATCATGGAGTAACATGTGGAGTCCGATTGACTCTAAAGGAAGGTCACAATGCTTCGTCGGGGCCACAAAGAAGCACACGTGTGAAATCCCATTAATAAATTTCTTTCATAATCATAATATTGTGATTTTAGAAACTAAAGCCTTCAAACAACTCTCGTTCCATATACCAGCTTATTTTAGATACATTGACGATATTTTATTGACGGCTCAGAGCTGTATGATTCGAACAATTCTTGACACTTTTAATTCTTTTCACCCACAACTCCAATTCACATGTGAAATTGGTCAGGACAAAAGCATCAATTTTTTAGACATTAATTTGAGGGTGGTTGAAACGTTTGAGTGCAATTGGTATCAGAAACCTACTTCTTCAGGCAGAAATTTAAATTATTACTCGTCAATCACTTAGTTATAAGTTGGGCATAATTATCAGCTTGTGCGATAGAGCTATCTCATCCTAGATACCACCAAAGAAATTTTTATAAGCTAATTGATATACTACTGAGTAACGGTTACCCATTAACTTTAATTTTCAAAACATTAAGGACAAGACTTCCCAAGCTGATTCAGAACCAACAGAGATCTAATGTTATTAAAAAACATCGGTACAACGATTGACATGAATAACAGTAATAATCGTTTCTTTGTGCCATATATTCGCAAGATTTCTGAGAATTTAGAACATTATTTGAAAGACTTGAGCCTCAAGATCGCTTATTTGAGTGTGCGTACATTAGATAGATTTATTAAACCTCACAAAGATAAGTTACCTAAAGAATCTCAAAGTGGTCTAGTGTACAGAATTGATTGTTGCCACTGCGATGCGTCGTATATCGGTCAAAGAGGCAGACAACTGAATACTCGCGTTAAGGAACATCGTAGCCAATTATCCTATTTTCATACGAATCTTTCGGTTGTCTCACGGCATCGCTTGTTGAGACATGAATTTGCTTGGGACTCAGTCAAGATTTTAGACAGAGAGAAATCTTACATTAAATGCTATATCTCAGAAATGTTCTTTGTTAAAAGACAGAAAAATGGAATTAATTTATGTAAGGATATAGAGCGGTTGAGCAAGGATTATATGTCTATAATTGAGAGACTTCCATTGGCATAAACATATGTTTATCTTTCTTTTCTTTGTTTTCCTCAGTGTTTGCCTGGCTATGCTTCGTAGTGTCGCGAGCGGTTGATTTATAATGTGGTCCGATTTTAAGGTAATTGTTCAGAAGAGCTACCTCACCTCCGATTTTAATAAAAGAGGGCTCAATCGACGCGTTTGTGCATGCCAAATAACTTTTTCCTTTGACAAAATCGTCGCTCTCTACTGCGAAGCGAGATATTAATAGACAAAGTTGAGGGCGTGTTAGGTTAGAAAATCTATCATACCATCTATCTCTAGTTATGTAACTGGGGGGCTTCGCCCCCCAGACTCCCCTATCACGGGGGGTGGAGGCTATGGGTGCGTTCAGAAGACACAACTGTTGTACAACTGTTGAGTGATCGTTCTCTGAACGCATCCTGATCAGTGAGCGGAACTCAACATGTTTAGTGAGCGGACGCCATTTTTCTGAGCAGTTTTCAAATGCGCTCACTGATCACAACACGTTGCAACATTTAAATGCGTGTGCTTGTATACTTATGACAGAGTGACAGATGGGAACGCAACCAAGATGTACGAAGAAATATATTTATATAATAATGCTTCTTATAGTATAATGGATACTAAAGAAATGCACGAATTATTGAAAAACGGTTAGTATTAATTTAATAACATATAGGTTCAACTCACAACTCACTTTTATCGATAAAAATGAGTTGAGAATATGGACCATAGTATATAATTTCTCAATTATATATATATATATATATATATATATATATATATATATAACGTCTCAACTATATATTTTTCATTAACTTTATT